CCTCAGGAAAGATTGGAAAAGTACTAGTCCTAGACATAATGTTCTAGACATAATGAAAACATTATACTAAGTTACTGAACAGCACTTATTATGTGATTCATTTAAATAAAATGTCCAAAATAGGAAAATCCATAGGGATAGATAGTAGATTAGTGGTTGCCTAGGCTGGGGATAGAAATAGGGACTGAGAGAAATCTTTGAAGTGATAGAAATGTTCTAAAACTAGAATGTGGTCAGGTTTGATGAATTCTATAAATTTACTACAAATCACTAAATTGTATACTTAAAAGGAACAAGTTTTATGATATGTAATAAATGATAACTCAATAAAGTGGTGAAAAAATGTTCCAACTGTATACTATAAAAAAGCTTACTTTTCTCCAAATATAGTAATAGATAGAATAGAAGTAAAGTGATGGAGAGAAACCAATTATGGAATGCTGAAGTAAGAACCTCTGAACATCTCCTCTTCCATAAAAGTAAAAAGTACACTGGCAAAAATCTGCAATTAATCTAAAGGCTTGCAACAGAACATGGAGAAGTTTCTTAAGAAAAACTAAGTAAGATTAGTAATGTTTGTAGCACTTCAACTGTCCACAATTCTATCTCCTCTCTCAGTATCCCTGAAAACCAACAACATTGCAATTACAGTAGCTACAAAATTCAGCAACATAGCTGAAACTAGAGGGGCTGAATAGTTCAAGAGCTCCCCAAAAACTGCATCCTCAGAGTATTTTTACTATTTGACCTGCCTGGGACCACAATGGGAAGCTACATGCTGAGTCCTTGTCTTTGGCCTGACTTGTATACCACTCTTGAGAATAGTTCATCTCTAGGGCATTTATCAAAACCAATCAGTAGGGATTGTATACCATTACAGCTGCTTGAGATGGCATTAACAGCTGAGACTAACAAGAGGCTGACAAAAAAACTTTTAAAAAATGGAAACAAGATGTCCATAGTGGCTTTGGAAAGTTCAGAAATAAATCTAGAAGGTAATGAAAATGTTTATAATACTGCTGTGATTACTAGACAAAAATTTAAATCACTTATTATAAGTTCTACAAATAACTAAAGTAAACTATGTATAAAGAACTAAAAGAAGCTGGGCACTGGTGGCTTACATTTATAATCCTAGCTACTCAGGAGGCAGAGGTCAGGAGGATCACGGTTCAAAGCCAGCCAGGGCAAATAGTTAGCAAGATGCTATCTCGAAAAAACCCTTCTCAAAAAAGGGCTGGTGGAATAGCTCAAGGTGTAGGCCCTGAGTTCAAACCCCAGTACTGCAAAAACACAAAAAAAGAGAGACAGAAAGTCTTAGAAAATAGAGAATAAAAACAGAAAGAAATTAAATTTCTCTAATAGGGGTCTCAATAGAAGATTTGAGTTGGCAGAAGAATCACCAACTTAAAGATAGGCGCACTACCTAGTCTGAAGAGATTAACCCACGCTGTGGAGAACAAATGAAAAAAAGGACAAAGAACAGTTATAAGAGCCTTGGAGAACTGTAAGTCTCTGAGATATCAACATACACATAACAGGAGTCTCAGAAAAAGGAGAAAAAGGGACATATTATTTAAAGAAGGAATGGTTAGTAGCTTTCCAAAACTGATGAAAAACATTAATCTACAGATCAGAGACTCAAAGTAGGATAAAATGAAAGAGATACATGTCTAGATATATATCCAAATTGTCAAAAGTGAAAGACAAAGACTGAATTTTAACAACAGTGAGAGAAGAGACAAGAGATGTCTCAATAAGATTAACAGCTGACTTATCAGAAAGGAGGAGGCCAGAAGGCAATAAGATGACATATTTAGGACTGGAGATGTGGCTGAAGTGGTAGAATGCCTGCTTTGCAAGTGTGAAGCCCTGGGTTCAAACCCTAGTCCCAGGGGGAAAAAATCACTGGGAAAATAACATACACATCACTAAAACTATACTTCAGAGGAGAGGACAAGAAAGAATAACGAGTGATTATGGTCAAAGTATGTTATATGTGTACGTGAAAATGCCACAATGAAACCCGTTATTCTGTACAATTAATTTATGTTAATAAAAATGTTTAAAAAACGGCACTTCCAAACTGAAGGAGAAAGTAAGCAGTCTCATATCAACAAACTGAGAGAATTCATCACTAGAACACCTGCCTATAAGAAAAACTAAAAGGAATCTTTTAGGCTGAAATAAATGGATGGTATATAGCTACTCAGAGTCACACAAAGAAAGAGCACAAGTAAAGTTGACTATACAGGTAGACATAAAAGACAGTATAAATGTGCTTTCCTTTGTAACTCTTTTTCTTCTATCTCACTTAAAAGATAAAAGATAACTACATAAAAATAATTATAAAATGGCTGGGCACTGGTGGCTCATGCCTGTAATCCTAGCTACCAAAAGGTAGCAATCAGCATGAACTTGTTTCAAAGCGAGCCCTGGGCAAGTAGTTCACAAGACCCTATCTCAAAAATACCCAACACCAAAAAAGGTCTGGTGGAATGGTTCAAGTGGTAGAGTGCCTGTCTAGCAAGCATGAGGCCCTGAGTTCAAACCCCAGTGCCACCAAAAAAAAATAATAAAACAATAATATAAAATTGTTGTTGGGGTAAAAAAAATCTGTAAAGATTTAACTTGTAATAGTACAAAGGGGAAAACAAGATACTTGAACAGCCATTTCAACAAATAAGATACACAAATGGCCAAAAAGTGTATGAAAATATGCTCAAGAGCCTAGTCGTTAGGGAAATAAAGTCAAAACTATGAGATACCACTTCATGCCCACCAAGGTGGCTATTATAATAAAAAAAAAGAGAGAAGAAAAAAACCCAGAAAATAACAAGTGCTGATTAGAGTGCAAAGAAATCCAAAAATTTTGTGCATTCCTGATAATAATGTAAAATGGCACAGTCTCTACGGAAAACGATATGGCGATTCATCAAAAAATTGAATGCAAAATTACCGTACTATCCAGCACTTCCACTTATGAGTATATATCCAAAAAAGAAGTGAAAGCAGATACTCAAATGTATTTGTACACTCATGTTCACAGCAGTATTACTCACAATAGCTAAAACAGGGAAGCAACCGAAGTGTCTACTGTTGAATGACTACATTTTTAGAATCAGCATATACATACAATGGAATATTACTCAGCTTTAAAAAGGAAATTCTGGCATATTCTACAACATGAACAAACCTTGAAGACATTATGCTAAGTAAAATAACCCAGTCACAGACAGGTGTGACAGTGCACATCTATAATCTTAGTGTTTGGGAGGCTGAGGAAGAAGGACCATGGGTTCAAGGCCAGCTTGGATTCCAGAGCCCAAGGCCAGAATGGGCTACATAGTGAGACCTTGTCTCAAAATACAACAACAATAACGCCCCAAATACAAAACCCAGTTGCAAAAGAACAAATACTGAATGATTTTGCTTATAGGAGGTACCTAGAGTAGTCAAATTCAGAGACAGAAAGCAGAATGATAGTTGCCAGAAGGTAGGGGAGAGGGAAATGAGGAGATAGTGCTTAATGGGCACAGAGTTGAAAAGTCCTGGAGATGGATGATGGTAATTGTTGCAGAACAATGTGAATATACTTAATGCCATAGACCTATGCACTTAAAACTTGTTAAAATGGCAAATTTTATGTTATGTACACTGTATCACAATAAAAACAAAACTTCCTCTACAAAAAGACACTGTTAAGAGAATGAAAAAACAAGGTACAGAGACAAAATATTTGCAAATCACATATCCAAGGGGGGACTGTGTTAGGAATAAATATGTGTATTTCAAAGGTCATTAGGAAGGAAATAAACAATCCAATGATGAAATGGCAAAAGATTTGAACAGACACTTTAGCAAACAGGATATAAGGATGGCAAATAAGCACATGAAAAGATATTCAACATCATTAGACATTAAAGAAATGCAAATTAAAAGAACAATGAGGACCACTTCACATCTATCGGAACCACCAAAATAAATACTGACAATACCAAGTGCTGACAAAGATGTAGAGCAAGTGGACTCTCATACATTGTTGGGGGAAATGCAAAATGGTACAGCCACTCTGGAAAATGGTTTGGCAGTTTCATATAAAGTTAAATGTACACTTACCATATGACCCAGTAATCCCACTTCTAGATATCTACTTAGAGAAATAAAAACTTATGTTCACACAAAAACCTGTACAAGAATGTTAATATCAGTATTATTCATAACCACAATAGCCTGGAACAAACCCAAATACACTTCAAAGGGTAAATGAATAAACTTTGGAAAAATCCATACAATGAAATGTTGACTCCACAAAATGAATGAACTACTGATACAAAAAACGCTTGGATGAGTTTCAAAGGCATTATGCTGAGTGAAAGTCAGTTGCACAAGATTACACACTGGATGATTCCATTTATATGACAGTCTCTAAAAGATAAATCTAAAGTGATGGAGAACAGATCAGTGATTGCCAGGAATTATGGATGGGGGTTAGGAGTGAATATAGAGGTACAATATGAGGGAGTTTTTCAGAGTGATGGAGCTATTCTGTCTACTGATTGGGGTGGTGGTTACATGAATCTACATGATTTACAATTCACAGAAGAAAAAGCCCCATGCAATTTTATTGTAAGTTCATTTCAAAAACAAAATACTAGCTATAATATCACCATCATCATCATTATCATCATCTATAGTTATTTTACTAATAAAAATGTTTAGAATTATTTGCAAAATGGGATCTACAACTCAGCAAGGTCAATTTATGTCTGGTACAATAACTGAAAGGTACAGAGATAAAACAACACTAAATATAAAAGCTTCATAACTTTTACTAATTTCTCTCTTTAATATTTCATATCAGGATATGTTCTCTCTGGATCATTCCCTACAAACATTGTCATATACTGAATAAGGAATTAAATAAGTGTTCAACTTATAATTGTGGGACCCTAGGTTACATTCCTAAATCTAACACTTTAAGAAAACTCTCGACTTGCCTTTTGTGCCTAATTTTATCTTCCTCTTCATTGAGGTCATGTACTTGTCTGCACTTGTCTTTTTGTGGTATGCTGTGAAGGTTTAAAGCAAGGAGTTTCAAAGATAGGAAACAGAACAGATTCATACATCCCCCCCAACCCCCACCCAAATACCAGGTACTGTTCTAAGTGATTTACATGTATTACCTTACTTAATCCTCCTAACAATCCTATATTATAGCTACTATTAATAGTCTCACTTTACAGATGAAGAAACTGAACTACAGAGTGATAACTTCCCAGCATCTCATAGCTAGTAGGTGGGGGAGCCAGGATCTTCCCAGGCAGTCTGCCTCCAGAGTCCATGTTCATAATCAGTATGTCATTTTTCTCCACAAAAGGCTGTTCATGTGTTATTCATTCCTTCCTTTACCACTATTTTGCCATATCTATGGTCTCTCAATAATTCTCAGGGCTTCAGTCTATCATCTAAGCAGAGACAATTCCCAACTATATACCTAAATCTGACCTCTCTTAAGCATCACTGCTTTATTTCTAACTGCCTTCTCAATATCTGCATTGATGTTCCTGTCATTTTCACACATTTGACATGTTTAAAGTCAAACTCGTCCTTCTTCAAAATTTCTCCAAAAAAGGCTTTCTTAGTTTGGCCAGTTGTTAAACCACACAGCCTTAGAACATCTGGGTTATCTTTGACACACTCCTCTACATTGACCCTCATCCTTCATTCTCAGTCAACAAGTTTCATCAATTCTTCCTTTGCAATATCTCTTATTAACAAACCTACTTCCACTTCCAATTCAACTGTCATCATTATAGTCTGGATATTCACGTCTAAATGACTAAATACTTCCTAACCATTCTGTTTCCTTTCTGTAATCCTATTTATTGGCCACCACATTAATCAACTTCAAATATGGTTTTTATCATGTTACTTTTGGCTCAAAAAACATCTCTGTGCAAACTCAATAACTAAAAAATTAACTCTGTATACAACCAACCAAATAAAGTCTAAAATTCTTAGCTACATTTCCAACCTTGTCTCTTATAACTCCCCCAAGCAGTCAGTAGTGCTCATAACAACTATTGCAGTTGAAATGCCATTCCCTCTCCTGTCTAAATTGTTAGTATTAAAAGAATATTTAAATTTTACCTCTTCTGAGAGGCCTTCAGTCACACCAATAAAACTCTGAACTTCTATAGCACTTAACAACTATATTGTGTATTGTTACTAAATGTTTTGTGTACATCTCCAACCAGACTGTACTTAGCATAAGCCCAGGAACCATTCTTAAAACTTCTGTATACCTTTCACCATGCATAGTAAAATTGATCTGCTAAATTAATTCTTTCAAGTTAAGTCATATACTATTTATGTATATATTTTGTGCTAATTTATAGTTTAAATATCCTTCACAATCTAGCCTCACTTTCCTTTTCAGTGACCTCTCCTGTCATTCCCTACTACACTGAACTTCTCATTGTTACCCCTTAGATAACCAGGTCCTATTCACTTACTACCTGTAATGTCCTTTTCTCTTTACCTGACAAATGCCTGTTGATCCATCAGGACAGTACACATGTCAACATCTGACTCCCCCAACTAGATTAGGATGCTTTATGTCTTGTGTTCCCTTCAGCATTTGATTCAAATCTATATAAAAACAATTGCCATGTTGTCATGCAAGAAACTATGCACATATTTGACTGTCTCATGAGACTTCACATTCATCAAGAGTAGTAACAGTTTGTCTTTTCCCTAGTCCTTTCATTAATTCTTCACATCTAATACTCTGATAGCAAACCATTCTCTCAAGTAAAGAACATATCAAAGCTAGTGAGGACTGCATACCTTGGTAATAAAGAGCCTTAAGGAAGGAGTGACGGTCAGCTCCCTGAAATAAAGATTTTTCTATTTCCATTTCTCGCCGAGTCAGTTGTTTGCTTTTTGAAAATCTCTGTGGCAGGCAAAGGATTCGCTGACGCTCTGAGATCCTTTCTTCAATATCTTGGAGACGATTCTGTATTGCTTCTGGAGTTGCCCTCAGCCTTGTCCTCTGAAACCAGGGAAATGAAATAGTAGAAATCATACAGGACATACCCTGAAAGTGATGAGCTGATGCCTTAAGTAAGAAAGAAAATGATAAGGGCCCAGAAGTTAAAAGTGTTTATGGAAAGTGTGAGCTAAGAAGTGAGCAAAAAGCTTCTCTTTTACTAATGTCTCTAACTTGAAAATCAAAGAAGATTCAGACCCAAAGCTCAGTTTTGGAAGAACTAAAACTGAAAAGGTTTTCAATGAGATCCTGCTCTTTATTCTCCAGAAAAACTAAAAAGGTTTTCAATAAAGAGATCCTGCTCGGGGTTGGGGATTTAGCTCAGTGGAAGAGCGCTTGCCTGGCAAGTGCAAGGCCCTGAGTTCGGTCCCCAGCACTAAAAAAAAAAGAGATCCTGCTCTTTATTCTCCAGAAAAAAAAAAAAAAAAACAACAACATTGCCCCACTCACCTTTTCACCCGAAATATGGCTCTTCCAGATCAAGATTTCTGTTTCATTGAGCCCCAGTTCCCTGAGAGAAGCAGTTTCCTGGTCCTTTTCATGTAGTGTCTGGAATTGGGACAAAGTCATAGTCCCAGCTGCTTCCTTCCCAAAGGGCTTGTACATGGTCCCGGGGGCAAAGCTCTCTTTCTTAGAGACACATCTACAAAAGAAGCAAGGTGTGAGTAAGAAAATCTTGTGGTTACAATTCACAGCAATGGAGGTCACCATTACAACAGGCACACCTTCTCTCTCATGTTCTATTTCTAGGCTGACACAACACTGTAACAAGATCAAACTCCATCAGTAGTCCCCTCATTCAGGATAATAAATGACTAAATCATTTACTGAGTACCTACTAAATATTTACTGAGTACCTACTATGTATCAGATGCTGTGCTATATACTGACGACTTAATAGTAAAATAAAAGATATGGCTCCTGCTTTTGTGAAAGAACAGTGGATGAGAGGAAAATGACATTATCAAGTTATAAGTGCTATGGTGGGGGAAATGCAGGGTGTTTTAGGAGGACATAGGAAAGGTACTTGATCCAGGCTGTAGGATATGTGAAGCTTCCTAGAGGAAGAGATGCAGAAGCAAAACCCTGGTTAACATGTAAAAGTCTGTGGTAGGGTGTTCTTTTCAGGCTTTAAGAAGGGTCTATCACCTGGAAGTGCAGGTCTATGATATTGTACCTGTTTGCAAAATCAATACCTACTCCTCAATGGAGACAGATGTATCAAGCTGATGTTGAAGGAGGCTTTTCAGCTGCCTTTCCCCTTCTGTTTCCAGCTCCTCCAGGACATGGTCATCACTCTTCACACAACTGTTTACCCTGGAGCAGACATAAGAATATACACTAAAAGTGGGAGACAGAGAGTCTTAAAATACAGTCCTTATCTATATTACTGATCATTAGTGACCCTATTCATTCAAAGACACTTCTTTAATAACCCATCACCTTTTATTATTCATTCCACAACTATTTACTAAATACCTACTTACACAGAAGGCACTGTGTGAAGTAGGGATGGAAATCAAAGATACCCAAGACATAGTTTATTTCAAGAAACTTGTAATCTATTTCTGGGGAATAAATATACATGCTTATGTTGTGTGTATGTACCTGGGTTGGGAGACAGAATAAGAATAAATAATGACACAGAGAAGCATATGTCTAATTAGTAAAAGCTCATAGAAGAGATTAATTTGGAACTAAGGTGGTAAAGGAAAACTTCAGAAAGGTATTCTTAAGTTGGCATGTGAAGGATGGGGTATGATGAAGAAAAGAACTAGGAAAGCAACTATGAAGAGACAGAAATGGGAAGAATGGGAGGTTCTATTTAGATTCAGATTGTGAACAGCCTTAACTAAGGGGACTGGGCCTTAATGTGTAGGTATGAGAAGTAATTTATCAGCCAATTAGGTGACATACTTCAAAGTAATATTTTAGGCCATATGGATTAGAAGGAAAGAAACCAGAAGAACTTATAAAGAAATGATTGAAGTATAAGATGATGAAAGTCCAGACTGGAGTGATAATTGTGGAAACAGGAAGGGTTATATGAGAAAGGGCTTTTGGGTAGGGGAGAGGGTTAAGGAAGTCAAAGATAACCCCTAGTTGGGAGCCAGTGGCTCACACCCGAAATCCTAGCTACCTTTGAGGCTGAGATATGGAGGACAGTGGTTTGAGGCCAGCTCGGGCAGAGAGTTCATGAGACCCTACCTCAACCAATAGCTTTGTGCACCTGTCATCCCAAGGTATATGGGAGGCTAAGATCAGGAGGATTGAGGTTCTAGGCCAGCCCACGCAAAAAGTTTGTGAGACCCCCATCTCTGTGAAAAAAGCTGGGCATGGTGGCGCAAAGAGGAGGACTGTGGTCCAGACTGGCCTGGGCAAAAAGTGAGACCCTATCTCCAAAATAACCAGAGTAAAATGACTGGAGGTGTGGCTCAAGCAGCAGACTGCCTGTCTAGCAAGCATGCAGTCTAGAGTTCAAACCCCACTACCACCCCCCCAAAAAAATATAGCCCCCTAATTTAAAACTGCGTAACTAAGGGAATGATAGCGCCAATGAAGGAAAGCAGTGGGACCAGATAGAATAAATGCCTGGGAAAAGGAAAGCCAGTATTGTTATGGCCATATTGAGTCAACCACCTATTACAACTGAAATCCTAGCATGAAGTATCAGGACTACTCTCAAAACAGAGTCTGAAGTCATAATGTAAGTGATTGGCTAAAAGGCAAGTGAGACATGAGACAATAGAGAAGAGTCTAAGGATGAACATGGAAATCTCAAGTCATCTGTGTGGACAAGATCTGGAGCTATAAGAGAGATTTCTAAAAGAGAAAGAAATATGAAGGGAGTCACAACATTTTATAGTTTAGGCAGAACTGAAGAAATCTAGATAATAACTAACACAAGCTAACTAACTTTAGATAACTGAAAATTCTTTTTAGCATAAAGAAATAATGGGACTACTTAAGCACACAATAATAGATTAAGATAATGCCATGAGGAAAATAAATATTAAATGCTTTCCTTTTAAAGTACCTTTTTTCTAATGGGGTTATAATAATAATGTCCAAAAAAACCCCTGTAATTATAAGCAAGAGTCCTATGCTCCAGAAAGACTTGGCCTCCTTTTAGAAAATTCTTAGGTTTAAAAAAACATCCTTTTAAGCATCTCAATTTTTATTTATTATTTAGAATTCCGAAAGTTCTTGCCAAGTTTTAAGTTTTTTTCCAATGAATAAACCATAGCTAAATATATCGACACACATGAATCTCAAGAAGAGATGTTGTTATAAAAAGCAAGTAACAGAAAAATTCATACAATATATGCCAATTTGTATAAAGGGGAACTGGATAAAACTAGGGATAAATTCATATGCAGAAAACTATTTTAAAAATAAAAATAGGGCTGGCAGAATGGCTCAAGCAGTAAAGCACCTGCCTAGGCAAGCGTGAGGTCTGGAGTTTAAAACCCAGTACCTCCAAAAATAAAAAAACAAAAAATAAGCAGTGGAATAATTAACGCAAAATTCTTTATAGTGGTCATTTCAGGCATAAGGGGGAGACAAGAAAACACAGGGGAGCTCTTAAGGTATGAATGATGTCCTATTTCTTGAGTTTGTACTGGATATAAGTTTTTTACAATTTTTCTTTAAACTATCCATATATGCATTATTTTTCATGTATGAGATATATCATTATTTAAAAAAAATTTAAAGGTCCTTTTCCGGCAGGGAAAATAAGGCACTTTTTTTCCCAAAAAGATGTAACTAACTGAGAGTGGAGAGAATATTAAAAGTACCGCACTATTCCTGAATAACTCTGTTGCAGAATGAATACAAACGTAATTTAATGGGGATCCTTTTAACCTTTTAAAAGGTTTTCTGTCCTGTTCATAACTGGACCGGGGGGGGGGGGGGGGGGGGGGGGGGGGCTGTCTGGCCCTCAACAATAACCATTTAGGTTCAAGCAGTCATTTACTGCAGAACCAGTAGGGGGAACTGCCTGCAGCAATGCCTGTCTTTTTCTACAACACATCGAGCTGACTTTGTGTTTTCATTTTAAATTTGTAGAAGCAAAGTATCACTTCTTAATTTAAGATCTGAAAGCGCTACAGGTTTCCTGGCCCCGCCAAATCTTTAATATTCAGACAATGCAAACAGATGCGCCCACCCTGAGGTCCTCTCTGAAGATGAGGTAGAGGTAGAGTGAGCCAGGGAGGAACTGGCAAGGTTATCTCCTGCGCTGCCAACGAGGCGCCTTTTGCCCAGGTGGGTCAGTCTGAATCAGGAAGAAGCAATGTACCACCCCCCCGGCCCCCGCTCTTCGCTTTTCCTCCCCCAGCTTCTGGGGCTACAGCTTGGTGAACATCCGTAAGGAAACCGCCCTAGGAGCGGCTGTTTCTGAACTTCGCCATGCAGGCCTGACTGGCCCTCCTCCCCTTCCCTTTCTCCTTTGTTTCTCCGCTCTCACGAAACCGCCTCTCAAGAACGTGATACACCCCAAACAGAAAGTAATAAAAGCCATCTTCAAAGTAAAAGGTAGAACAGAGCTCCCCTTGCCGCTGCAACTCAGACAAGCCCTTACCTCTTCATGATTCCACAGGCCCCTATCTTTAACTCGGGTAAATAGGCCGGCCGCGGACCTCAAGTCCCAGAACTCTGCGCGGCAAACTCTACGAAGATTGTGACGCAGCGTGGGGTTCTGGGAATTGTAGTACCACAGAGCTAGCTAGAAATAAAGCGAAAGTAGGTATTGTGTGACCGGTATATTGTAAATTGTTTAAGAATTTCTCATATAGGTTAAAGGTAACACCAAAAATATCCATCTCATAAACCCATGAGTCACCTTTGGCTTCTTAACTCTAGTCCAGTATCAGTAAATCCTAGCTCTTTTCTAATTTCCCTTGAATTTGTCTCTATTGACCCTGCTTCTCTTTCAAGGATTGATTTTATCTACCTCCTGTTTCCAGTCAAGCCAATAGTCTATCGTCTGCGTTGTAGCCACGAAGATCAGATACCAGTGTGACTATATTAATTGCATTAATGCTTCTCTATCTGTAACACATGCTTCTGCGCTCTTGCTAGTCAAAGTCAGAAATCTGGATATATCCAGGACTTTGAATGTTTCATTGATAAATATGATGAATCAAGAGTGAGGTTTAGGGCTGGCGGAGTGGCTCAAGTGGAAAGAGCGCCTGCCTAGCAAGCTTAAGGCCAAGTTCAAATCCCAGTTCCAAAAAAAAAGCTGGCAGAATAACTCAAGTGGCAGAGCACATGCCTAGCAAGCGTGAGGCCCTGAGTTCAAACCCCATAACCGCCAAAGCAACAAAAAGGAAAGTCTGAGAATCTATCACGGCCAAGAGAAAGGAAGGGAATATAATATGGTATCCTGCAAAGATTCTAGGTTAAAAACTACAGAAATGTGAATAAAGCATGGTATGCACTTATTCGGCTTGGACTGGTGGAGTGGCACAAGTGGTAGAGCGTCTGCCTAGCAAGGGTGACGTCCTGAATTCAACCCCCCAGTACCAGCACCACTAATAATAATAATCAATAATAAAAATAATAAGGCTCATTAGCTGTGACGAATAAACCAAAGTTTTGTAACACGTTAACACTAAGAGCAAGTGAGTAGAAGTATATGGAACAATGTAGTATGTAACTTTTATGTAAGTCTAAAACTTCTAAAAAATAAAGTTTATTTTTAAAAAGTACCCTAAAATAATATTTTCCACTTACCAGATTGAGAAGGATACAAAAGTTTGACAATACATTTGTTTTACTGGGACTGTATTTTGTTGGTAGGAATGTAAACTGGTACCTTTACTGACAGCAACTTAAGGATCCTACTACAATTCAAATGCACATTCCCGTTAAAGTAGCAATTGAACACATCTATGAATACTATCCTCAATACAACAAATCTTCAAGTCTATAAGCATTTTCATTGCAACACTGTTTACACAAAATATTGGAAATAAGTTCAATATCCAAGAAATTATATTCATTCAATACAAACTGCAACAATTAAAAGGATGCAAAGTCCTCTGTGGAGTGCCACAGTCTCCAAAACATGGTGCAATAGCAAAGTTCAGAACAATGTATAGTACACTTCCATTTGTGTAAAAAAAAGTGGAATATGTGCTTGCCTGCATATGCACAAAATATCTCCGGGAAAACATGACAGTAATGTCTCCAGGTAGGGGGACTATATGGATGGCTGAGGGACAAAGGAAGGAAAAAACTCTTCATTGTGTTTATTTTTGTCACCTTTGAATTTTTGAGACAGGATGGCCTTGAACTCCTTCCATGATCCTGCTGTCTCTGGATTACACGTATGCATCACCACATCCAGCTCCTGTGAATTATTAACTACATGAATATATCACCTAGTGGATTCTTTTTTTAGTTAAAGGGAATCCTTCTTATATGACAAGGAGCCAAAGAAGAAAAACTGTGGGTTTGGGGGTTTCACACTGCTTGGATTTGAATCTCAGTTCTTAGTGACATTAAAGCACAGAAGGGTTCTGTAGGCAATCTGTACTTAAGCTTTTGCTGTGGTAAGTTATTAGAGTGAGTTTTCTTTTTTTTTTTTCCTTTGGCAGCACCGGTGTTTGAACTCAGGGCATCATGCTTGCCACTCTGCCAGCACTACAGTGAGTTTCTGTTGATTTCTTTAACTTGTTTAGGCCAACTTATTCATATATATATGTGTGTGTATGTGTATGTATATGTCTTACTTTAAAAGCATAGGATACTGTAAAACACTATACAAATTTATGAGTAAATATTCCAGGGTTATCCAGTAGATTCAGACTTATTCAAACTCCTTTGTATTGCAATGCTCAAGTTAGAACAAAAAACCAAAAAGCAGCTACTGGGTCAAAACAAAAACCCCCAAACTTCATATTCCCTTATCCTGAGAACTTCGAGCAGACTGAAAATATCATGGTTTTAGTTATCCAAAAATCTATCATATGCAAATGATTGTGCTCTTGAAGCACTTAGGTGAATGAAGCCAGATATAACTTGTACTGCTTTCTAGCTCTGACACAGAACAGGGACTGAATGTAAGTATAAATGTGAGTCACATCATACCCTGTATCAGGTAAATCCTATAAGGTGCTGGGATTTAATTCTGCTACTCAACCAAACGGTCCAATTGACACATTAATCAATAATGAAATGGAAAAACACACCAAGGTTGCTAGTGTTTGTCCTCTGGGAAGATGGCAAAGAGTGCAGCAAACATAACCATCTAATAAAAGTCTATTGGTAGCATAATGATACATACTACATTACAAATCCACTAGGTGGGATGAGTGGAGAATGAATAGATAGAAGCAATACTAGCTCTATCAAACTTCTTAACTGTATAATAATAGCTGTTTCCCACAGCATCCCTCTCCCCTTCTCAAAAGGATAGCAGTGTATAAAAAGCTTTGAGATCTCTAGATGTGCTACATGGGCATGATCTTACCATGAGGTAACTTCACAAATTCATCCCTAGAAGAATTTATGACAAACTGAAAAATATGCCTCATTTGTCTGACAATTTAACAAGGTTAGTTTAATTAAATCAGAAGCAACCAGAAGCTCCTCCTTAGCATAGACTCATGTTCAGGAGTTGTCCTTTTTAGTTGCTTTCTCTTCAGCACACTTCTTATGAGTACAAAACTCCAAGATATGGAAGAAGACATTAAAAACCAAGAATCTTCTTTTGAGTCTACTCATCATCTAATAAAGTAAACAACTGTGCATGTCTTTTAAATTTCTTTATGAGGTAGTATAAATGCTGTTAAAAAGAATAAACGACATCTTCTTAAAGGACAAAAATGGATATGCACTAAGAAAGTGTCAACATTATATATTTAAGAAATTTCCTTCAACTAATATTTTAGCTGGTTAACCATGATTAGAAGGGCTTAAGATTCCTATGCCCAACAAAAACGTTGCCTAACCTGTGTATAATTATCACAATGAATTCCCCCTGTACAACAAATTTACCCTA